GGAGCCCGATGTGGGACTCGATCCCAGGACCCTGGGATCATGACCCGAGCCGAAGGCAGACGCTTAGCGACTGAGTCACCCAGGCGCCCTATATATTATATATTTTATTAACATTTTATTTACTTATTTTTATTTAATTTATTTATAAATTTATATTCATATATACTTATATAAATATATATGTAGTATTTATATAAACTATATATATATTTCTATAAAGACTATAAATAGCCTCTTCTGAATTCAGGTCAGGTTTTAATAAAAAATGAATCATGAAGAAAAATTTGAATTTTAGAGGCTTTTGATTTTTTTCTGAGTTGAAACAAGGGATTGTGGACATGTATTAGAGAAGACAGCACACACCAAAATATCAAGTATTGAAGTGTAAGTGTTATGATCTAATTTCCTTTATACATGCACACATACACGCACAGGTGTACACAACTAAGATTATAAGGCGCTATTTAAGAAATGTCAAATGAATTGTGCGGTTAATAAGTGCTTTGGGTTTAGAGGAGGGAGAACTACTTCTTGCTTGGGTTGTCAAGGCCTCACAGAGCAGATGGGACTGAACAGCACCCTGCGGGGCAGGTGTTTAGCTAGGAGGAGAGGGATGGTAGACCAGGCTGGAGATGGTGCCAGTCAAAGGTAGGTAGTACAGTGCCTCAGCAGCTTAATATGTATATGAGTTTCTGCTTGGGATAAGGGATCAGAATTGTTATTTAACTTTTATAATATTAATTTATAACAGCTGCTATTATGGAGAAACTTTTATATCTTGGAGAAATGGAGAAATTGATCAGGGTTTTAAAAAAATGCCAAGTGATTATTATTTCCTTCTGCTTCATAGATAAAGATGTGGCATTTCAGTCATTGCCTACAAAATAATTGGCCCTGTTGCTGTGGGATGTAGTATGTGACTTTCTTTTATTTGAAGATCTAGGAGGACTATCGTACAGTCATTTTCAAACAAGGACTGGCAATATTTGTATCAATGCTTCTCAACATTAGCTGTACTTTGGAAACATGGACCGGGTGGTGTGGGAAGAGGGCATTAAAGCATCCTGATGCCTGGCTCCTACCCCAAGATTCTGATGTAATTGAACAGAATTGGTCTGGGGACAGCCTGGACATAGAGATTCTTAAAGTTCCTCCTGAGTCTAATGTTTGCCCAAGGTTGAAAACTACTGGTTTTGATGAATGAACTCTTGGTTTTAAGTTGTAAAGAGAGGAGGTAAAGTCAATATTTAGCTAAATATTTTTGCAATTAAAATAAAAATATAAAGCATGAAATTTAAATAACAATAAACTATACATCAGCTAAACTATTTTGTCATAAACATGTTTTCAAACCAAACAGTAATCTTTGCCCTACTTTGTATTCATTTTATTAGAATTATATACTTTTGCCAAAGAACTATGGGTATTATGATCCATGCTCACACACAGATTTAGCATTATTACCTGGAAACTGCTCTCTTCCCATATAACCTCACTATTTGACATCCAGTCAAAACCATAAAAGAGTGAGAGAGAGCTTCTATAATTTGTTCCATCCCTACACTATGGGTTTTAAAGAAATGGTGACCCTGAATTTTAACCTTGTGGAAACCAGAGACATCAGAGGTTTGCCAAAGGTCACACAGCTTGGTGGGTGATGGAGTCTGACCCAATCTTGATTTCTGACTTTGAGTCAAGGTGGTTTCCACTCCCTCATGTTGCTGCCTTTGTAGGAAATATAAACTGGGTTGAGATTGGTGACAGTTGGAAATAGAGCATAAGAAAAATTAAACTTTGGAGCTGTATTAAGGAGAAGAAGCTACAATACAGATGCAGCATTAACTTACTTTCTTGTGTGAAAGATAAGATTATCTTATTTGATGGATATTCTATTTTGCATCACTCCTGCCAGAAGTGGTATGTAGGGTGTCAATAGATAAAATTGACTCAGATGTTTTTTTAGGGCCCAGTTTAGAGAAAAGTAAGTTATGCTTCAAGAGTCAACATTCATTCTGATGGCAGACATTTGATAGGTTTTCCATTGCCATAAAAAACAATAGATGGATATAAATCCTCAGAAATTGATAAGGTTGCAGGAAACTTTGGAAGCAAGATTCAATTTTCTTCAGAAAAGTGGGTAGAAGTCCTTTTACATACGGGTCAACTTTGTAGCTTTTATTAGCATTTCTAAGTCATAACAGATGATACTGGGTGGCTGCTGGGGTGTTATGGCCCACTTTTGAGCTTTATTTTCACATGGTGATATATGACTGAATCTGGCAATGAGGCTTTTAAAAGACATACTACTTCTCTAAGTCCCAATAGAAATAGTATCATTTAGTTTCATCTAAGCTAGCTAAAACTTCCCTATCTGATGAAATCTCTGGATAGAGAAGAAAAGACTTTTTCAAGATATTGCTACAATACCAATCATTTCTTGAATCAAAATGTTATTTAGCAAGTGTTTATTTGTATATCTGTTATTTAATCTGAAAGAAAAAAAGCCCACATTAAACTGATTTGAAAGCTTGGGGAGTTGATTAAGTGTTTACTTGTTATTGATGTTCCAGATTTCAGCTTTTCCTTGGGATGACCCTAATATTCATGGTTTTGCCAACTGCACTCCTACAGAGCAGAAGGTACTGCTATAATTGTGACTAATGGGCCTTATGAGAATTTAAATCGCTTTTTCTTTTGTAAAATATTTTGGATTAGAACCTTTTTCCAAAATTAAATTAAATTCTATATAGAACAAAGATGACTGAGGTCTAGAAGAATATATAAATTTGCTTATTATAAAATTGCCTATTAAGAAGTATAAAAAGGGTCTTAGAGGTATTGTATATGTGCTGCCGAAGCGAGCACGGGTCTTAGAGGTATTGTAAGGAACATGGGCCTTGGAAATTAAGGATTTGGTTTGGAGTCCTGCCTTTACCATAACTAGATATGTCATCATCCAGTGAATGATTCAGCATCTCTGAAGTCCATCCTGTGAGATATGGAACAGTAACTAAGTCATTGTTACTGTGAGGATGAAAGCAAATTGTATATTGTAATACAGAAAGAAGTTATTTTTACTTTCTGTTAGTAAACTCCTTCAAGTTAGGTTCTTTTTTGCTTCTGGGCCAAAAGTAACTGAAAGCTCACAATGGAATGTGTTAAATTAATAGCTGGGGCTGTGCAACCTTAAAATAGTGATGTTATGCCTTTTCAGTTCAGATAAGCAACATCTGTTCTACACTGTCTTTTGGTCTTTTAAAACAATATTGTACTTTCAACATCAATTTTAGCAGGTATAGTTGAAAATAACCTATCACAGTAAACAGAAGAAACTGGCAGTAAAATTAGCATGATTTTGTCAACTGATACAATCCTTTTAACTGAAAGAGCTGCTTGGGCAAATCCTTTATTTATTGGTTATTTCCAGGTATAACATACAAGTGTCTAATTCATTCATTCAGAATCTTTCAAGCCATTCTTGTTCAATGTTTACTTTAAGTTTTGGCTGCAATTTGATTAATGGATTCCTCCCTTACCTCCAAGAGTTTATTTTTGAAAATCTTCATTTTTACCTAAGGGATGGTCTCCTAAACTATCAGATTTAAACAGAACAATGTGAAAAATCTGATCTCAATAAATTAGGAATTTTCAGTTGTTTTCCAGCTTCAAAAATGAGGACTGGCAAAAATCATTTTCCTGCTTTCAGTAAACTCTGGATTTCCAGCTCTAGAATGAACATGAGACTCTTCCATCTTCAGCTATTGAAAATGAGTGTACTCAGTAATGGACTAACCTGGCCTGTGGTTCTCTCTGGTTGTTTTCCTTCACAGCAACACCCCTGAACTCACTTAAGCCTCCAAGGGTGGACACTGCTCCAGTGGTTGCATCTCCCTATCAAAGAAGAGATTCAGACAGATACTGTGGGCTCTGTGCAGCCTGGTTTAACAATCCTCTCATGGCCCAGCAACATTATGATGGCAAGAAACACAAAAAGAATGCAGCAAGAGTTGCTTTATTAGAACAACTTGGTACAACTCTGGATATGGGGGAACTAAGAGGTAAGAGAAACTCTTAATTTCTGCCACAGAACTGGGCTTTCAGAGAAAGATTGTGTTTTCACAAACTGCATTGATTACTAAGGAAAAATCTAGGCTCATCTAAAAGGAATAGAAGGAAAAGGAAATGAGCAGAAAACTAGCTTAATTTTTGTAATCTCCTTCATTTCAAACTCTTTGTTATTTCCATATTTTTATTGACATTTTTCAGATTGAAGCCACCCATATATGAACCAGATATTTTCCTTCTGCTTTACCTTTTTTTTAAGAGGAGGGGGGAGGGGGAAGGAGCAGAGGGCAAGGGAGAGAGAAAATCTCAAGTAAGCTCCATGCCCCGTGCGGAGCTTGATGAGGGGCTCTATCTCACAACCCTGAGATCATGACCTGAGCTGAAATCAAAAGTCAAATGCTTAACTGACTGGACCACCCAGGCGTACCTCTGCTTTATCTTTAAACACCTTTGCTATCGAATGCTTTAGTACATGAGCAACATGAGAGAAGATGCTAAAAGGGCCAAATAGCATTATCTTATTAAAACTTTTGTGCTTTTGTGACTCCAACCCAAATGAAGCAGCATGTTGACTCTATTTAATAGCTTAAAACAAGCCCAAATCCCTTTAGTAGAAATATCTAGGAAGCTGGGTAAGATGGTTCCACCATATGGTCAATACCCAGCTTCCTCACTGCACCCTTCCAGATGTTTTCTCAAGTGATAGAAAGAATGCAGCATTTGAAATTCATATGGGGTTTCACAGAAGCTGCTGAGTAGAGACTCAGGAACCATAGGGGAGGATCATCCTGTGGATTCCTTAGGAAGACATACACCAATTCGTGGGATTTGATAGAATCTTTCATCATCAACAACCACTTAAACATTTTTTGATCACCTAAACATTTTTGATCAACTCATGCTGGCATTGTATGAGTAGAACAAAATCATATAAAATATATTTTTCTGAGAAAATATATGTTTTCAGGAAAATAATTTTGAAAAGGGTGCTATGAATACTATACTTCAAGTGTTATATGGGCTAGATGAGCTTTTATGGGCTGGCCAAGAATCATTATTCATAATAGCTCTAATAACAAAATTTGCAATTCAATTTTGAGAATTTCAAGAATGCAATCTGAGTTTTAACTGGGGTCTGTGTGTAGCCTACGATTCTTTCTCTAACTGGGCTATGAGCCTCCAAGAGAGGTCGTTGTAGTCAGGAAATGTGCTGGTACAATTCTAGACCAGATAAGTGGGACTGAAAATCATGCTGTGTGAGCTGAAGGGGTAGGGCTGGGGGGCAAGTTACTTCTGGTTTTTGTTGGTTGAAGAAGACTTCATCCAGGAAAAGGATTTGAATGGGAACTAGAAATGTAGGTAGCATTTCAGCAAGCCGTCCAAGTGAGCAGATTCATATTCGCACAGGCAAAGAGGCAGGAAAGCATAAGCTGTAGCTGGCAAAGACACACGTTATCATGAAAGAATCGTCTCATACCATATAGATTTAGGATTGGAGGTCCATTAGTATATCTATAGAGCTTGATTAGAGATGGATTTTTCCAAGATATGTAATTAAGAACAACAAATAAGAACAAGACATTAAAAACACTTTATTTCGGGTTTGTTTTTAGCTATAGAAAAACAACACAGGGCTTCATCATTCAGAATGTTGGATAATTTCATCTCAGAGCCTTTTGAATTGTTGGTGCTATTGCTTTTTGTTGGGGGATTTCTTGTATTCTCTATGTCTTGTTAAAAAATACAGAAAGAGTCACTCCATAGCTGAAGGCCTTCCCAAAACTCGCTGTTACTGGCAGATAACAAGTTGGCTCAGTGACTCCTTCACGGCAGGGCACTGAAGGAGAAAAATAGGGCTTTATTTATGTTTTGTGCCAGATATTATGACTTGTAGAAGAATTATTTCTCGAGCACATTCTTCTTGTCTATTTTGAATTATCAGTGCTGCATCTTTTATGTACAACCACATTTAATGACTTGGGTGTCTGAATTCTGTAACATTTGAGCAGCTTGTCTTTTATACAGAAGACAAAAAGGGCTGCTCTTTGACTTAATAACTCAATGTGGCTATGACTCAGTAGCACATGAGATGCGATTAACATTGAACACAATGTCCTTGAAACCAACCTTTTCACCCCCCCAAGTGACATTTTGATATATGTTTATTCAGGCATTAAATATTAAGGAATAAAGCAAGAAGATAAACCAGCACACACACACACACGCACACACACACACAAACACACACGCACACCCCTATTTCTGGAATGCTTCTAATGCATTATCAATTACTAAGGACAAAAACTACTAATTAGTAAATATAGGTATATCTATAACTTTTTAAACACTCATGTCATGCAGCTCGAGCACAATATGACAACATTTCAGGCTTTCTTTCTTTCATAGAACTCAGTTTTTTAAGCACTACACCATTTACTTATTTATTACGGTTTTCCTGATTTTCTGTCTTCCTCTCTACTCCTATAGATTGTTAGATTGATGCCTGTTTTGCTCACTGATGTGTTCAAAATGCCTAGGACGATGACAGACACAGAGTAGGTACTCAATAATTGCTGAATAGATAGTGGAAGCAAAAACTTTAAAAAATCACCTAAAAGCCTACATTCTTAACATGATAATCATTTTTATTTCTAAAAGGATCCTGGCTGAATGATTTTTACAAGAAATTATGATTGTTTTCTTCTAATTTTTAAAAATGATGTCTATTTTACATACTATGAAATGCAGACATTAAGTGTTATACAGTTCAGGGGGTTTTGACAATACAAACACCTGTATAACCCACACACCTATTAAGATATAATTTATCCATCCTGAGAAAACTCCCACGTGCCCCTTCCCAGTTCATCCAACTTCCCATTCCAGGGACCCACTTTTCCTATTTTAGTTTTGCCTATTTTTAAACTTCATATAAATGGAGCAGACGTGTGTATTTCGTGTGTGTTTCTGGCTTTTCTTACATAGCATATTGTTTTTGAAATGTATCCATTTCTTGCATATAAAGCAGAATAGCTCCTTGCTTTTTATTGCTGAGTAGTATTCTGCTATACAAAAGTTCCACAATTTATCTATTCTCCTCTTGGATGTTTTTGTGTTTGTGTGTGTGTGTGTGTGTGTGTGTGCGTGCGCTATTTTGAATAAAGCTTTCATGAACATTCTTTTTTTGTTTCTGTTTTGGCCAACGTATGTTGTACTTATCTTGGTAAATACCTGGGAGTAGAATTGCTGGGTCATAAAGTTGGGAGTATTTTTAACTATGTAAGGAATGGTCAAAATATTTTCCAAAGTAGCTGCATTCTTTTGCATTCCCTAAAGCAACATAAATAAATTCCACATTCTCACCAATATTTGTTTTTGTCAGTTTTCAAAATTTTAGCCATTCTAGTGGATGTAGAAAAGTATTTCATTATGGCTTTAATTTGCATTTCCAAGTTGACTAATGATGTCAAACACTTTGAATGTGCTTATTGGTCATTTATTTATCTTCCTTTGTGAGGTATCTGTTCATGTCTTTTGTCTACTTTAAAAAGTAAACAAGTCTTGGTTGTTTGTCTTTTTATTATTGAGTAATAGGTAGGAGCTTTTCATATATTTTCAATACACATCCTTTGTCAGATATACGCATTGCAAATATTTTCTCCTAGTTTGCAATTTAGCTATTCATTTCTTTAAATGTCTGGTGAACAGACATTACTAAATTATAAAAGTCTGATTAATCTTATTTTCCCTTTTATGATCATTGCTTTTTGTGTCACATCTAAAAAATCTTTGCCTTCACTCAAGATCAAAGATGTTCTTACATGTTTTTGTCTACGAATTTCATAGCTCTTATATCTAGGATTATGATGTATCTCAAACTAACTTTTGTGTATGGTATGAGATAATAATAGGAGTTGAAATACATTTTGTTTCATGCATTCACCAAGTTCTTACAGAAAATTTGTTGAAATATCTTCTTTTCCTCATTGAATGATCTTGGCACAGTTATTGAAAATCTGTTGATTGCACATGAGTCACTTTGTATCCAAGCTATTGTGTTCCATTGATTTCTTTGTGTTGTTTATGCCAGTACCACATTGTATTGATTCTTTTAGCATTATGGAAGTCTTGAGATCAGGTAATGCAAGCTCTCCAGCTTTGTTCTTCTTCCTCTGTATTGCTTGGCTGTTCTAAATCCTTTGCATTTCAATATAAATTTCAGAATCAGCTTGTCAATTTCTACACAGAAAGCTTGTTGGAATATTGAATGGGATTGAATTTAATCTATATATCAATTTGGGGAGATTTATTTAATTTCTTCATAGTACTGAGTCTTCCAATCCATGAACATCTTATATTTATTTATGATTTTTTTCAAGTTCTGTCAGCAACATTCTGTAGTTTTCAGTGTAAAAGTTTTGCACATTTAAAAAAAATTTCTCAAGTATTTTCTATTTAATGCTAATATAAATTCCTTTTTTTGAAATTTCATTTTTATGTGTTGATTACTGAAATAGAAAATGCAGTTGATTTCTCTATCTTGGTCTTGATTCCTGTAACCTACACATAACTTTCTACCATTCTTGGTATATAATTAAATAGCACAAGAAATTCCACCTTTTGTATTTTTTTGTATGCACACTATTTAGTCATTGGAAACTCTCTATTTGTGTTAACATTCTTGTCTTCCTTTGCTTCAAGTGGGAAATCAAAGTTTAAAAGTTATTCTTGTAGATTAGCAAAGAATTTTAAATGGGATTGGCCTAAATGGTCATTAATATGCATAACCTGGTTACTGATTCAACTTTAGTGTTATTTGTTCCCGAAAACAGATGTCTCTACTTCCAAGTTTTAATTTAACAAGAAAAATAGTCATCCTTTTCTGAATATAGAGTACAATGTAGAAAACAAAGGAAGTCATTGAATTATGAAATTACAAAATTCAATGATCACAAAGTACTTTAGAGATTTTTATAGTTTAAATTCTTCTTGC